TGCAAAATCTGACTAAATGGTTCTCATTACTGAATGATGGAAGAGCAATAGGAAAGATAATTTATTAGTGGCTCAAAGCTAATGAGAATAATTAGCACTATGATGCTTTCCAAGCAAACAGAGTAACTGTTCCTTAAGGAGCACCATCTCCCTGCAAGAGTGGGGAGTGCTCTGGGCAGGACTTCCAGGAGCAGGAATCTTACAAAGGACCAGGTCTGGCAGCCAGGTGGAAACACACAGGCTTCCTCCTGGCTTTAATTACGGGCCAGCGTTGCAGCTATGATTCCTTAAATTTGGGGCTAACAGGCCATCTTTTTTCTGACCTCAAAACGAGCTACACGAGGCTGATGAATACACAGAGTTTACAGTCCAGCTTCACTTCTCGGAAACCAGAGTCTGGAAATCACTGCCTTAGATACTGAGATTTTTTGCAACATCGCATCATAGAGTGCCTGCCAAAACCTTTTGCACAGAGTATTTCGGCAGCGCTGGTCAGTCGGGTGTTCCAAGAGTCCAGATTGCCAGCAGATTAAATGGCCTTCGGAGTAACTTCCTTTGCCGAAACACCCAGGTACCCTCCTTCCTGAATCGCTCAATAAAAGCAGGATGTGCAGAGAAAGCACAGCATCTTCTTATGGGCGGCCAAAGCAAATAACGGGAGAAATGTTGTTTTCCAATCAGTTCCAGCACAGAGCAGTTCTATAGGCAAGCGGATTAGCCAAAGGGCCGCACACTCGCGGTTCCAGCGGAGCTGTGGAACACTCGGGGATGGGCTGCCAAAGGCAAAGGAAATGCCAGTGTCTGGCCCCAACACTCAGCACCTGCTGATGAAAGCTCATTTCCCCCCCTCTCGGTTTTGAGAATTTACTCCTGCAATCCCAGTGCACCATTACAGACCCAATCACACTGAAGTAAGCCTATTAAACTAAAATGAGGTGCACGTGGACAACAGTCTCCACTCCCCTGAGTGTCGTTTTGAGCAAATGGCCTGTTTCATAGTTTGTAGAATGCAGTTGGCAGGGGTTTAGTATTATTCTAGGAAATCCATCTAGGCAACATTTCTCGTAATACAGTACTATCAGTAATACAGAGAGTGATTTTGATTTTTATTTTTTTAAAAGGAAAACAGACCAAGAAAACACTTGCAGGCTAGGTCACCAGGTCTTGACTCCTCTTTTGAAAAGCAGTTAGCCTCTAAAATCAAAATCACCCATGAAGCAATTCCATCTGAAATGAAGCTCTGTCTGAAGCATTCTCTTAGGCTGACTCACAATGGGAGTTGAATCTGCTTTTTTACTCCCAAATTAAATGCTGTAAGAGCATAAACCTTACTCTTCTAATCTTCTTTCACCATTAATATCAATTATCTTTGTGGATGACTATTGAGAGAATTTTGTCAGCAAGATTTGGGGATCTATTTTGGTCTGGGTAGGAGTTTAGAAAAATTCCCAAGGCTGTTTCACCCAACTGCCAACTAGTTAGGAGGGGTTTGGGGGTCAATGGGGCTATCAGACCCAGAATGCAATTGTACAGGGGGAGTAAAAAGGGAATGGAAATTTGCTAGGTTGCTTTTCTTGATTCAGATTGGAAAGCAAGTCTCTGCCAGTCTCTCCTGTAGAAGTTGCTCTAGTTTGAACAAATAAGGGCATACTGACTAGGTCAGAGACAGATGGAGAACTCCTTTACAACAGAAGCCAAATTATCCTCTCGGGCTGCAGGGGACTGGGCTGTAAGCTTGTTCTCATCTTGGGACTCCCGCCTGGGCCTCCCATATCCCAAAGTATTCATTCTCCTGCGATCTTGTCCTTTTTCCTCCTTTTGGTGGATGAAAGAAATTCAACATGCCCTTTCAGTAGATGAAGAAACCATTTCCTATCCAGCTGCTACTCAGTCTGCCCAAAACGCTTGGTCCCGCTATCCTCTGTCTCTCCAGCTACACCACAGGCCCAACATAGACCTGCAGGCTATTTATATCTTGTTTAAGCCAACACAGAGGAATAAAGGGATACACAATCCTTGCTCAGTCTATCTGCTGCATACACGTTTTACCCCTCCTCAACAAGACTTAATCTGCTTAGGTTAAGGGTGTAGCGGATGTCCAAGACCTTTGAATCACACCTTAAAAGGGCTGAAAGACCAAACCTGTAATTGCAAGAGCATAATCTCTGATTCACTGCAAACCATTTGTTATCAGCAATTGAATTTCTTGCTGATAAATGATTCATGATTTGAAAGCCCAGATGACGCACTTTTAACCATGGCAGAAATTCCTCTGTGGTTATGAACGCCTGGGTTATGCATCTACTACAACAGGCTGGAAAGTCTGAACGTGTGGAACACCCAACCATGTAATTATATAGAATAAAAGCTTTTACATATATGATACTTTCCATTCACAGCTTGGAGAAAAAAATTGTAAAATATTTCAATTTCAACCTGACTGATAGAAATACAAACATAACTGCCTTCACTAGCAAACATAAACACCAGTTTTTGCTTTACTGTAGGTAAGAGAATTACAACAGTGTAACTGAGATCCAGACCTGGTCTACTAATTAAAATGGCTTGGAAGCAAAGCTCTAGCTCATGGTGCACTCTAGTTCACAGTAACTAAGGCTTTTGTCAGTCATTTGATGTAATCGTTTATGGTGTTCAAAACTATTTTTCAAAAACCATTCAGGCTATAAACCACATGAGTCATGACCCTATAACAGAAGGTAAATTATTCTCAAATATTTTATATTTGTGCATTAACACATGATTAGCCAAGAAAAAAATGAATGCCCAAGTCCAAGAAGTAACTGACAAAAGACTGAAGGGAAAAATGAGAATCCTTAATTTTAATTTTATTATGGTGTAACCAGCTGTAAGGAATTACTGGTCTGAAGCACAGTGTGCAATTGTCCTATCCTAAACATTTACTAAAGCCTATAATTCAGAATGATCCTGACAAGTGATGTCACCATTGGCAAGCTATGATTTTTTTTTCCTTTTTATTTTTGAAGTCTGTATTTCTCAGCAATTAGCACAAACAGAGGCACAGCCTATGCACAGAAATGCTCAAGCATTTCTGGAGACTGTACTTTTTTAATGCCAGCTGCATTGACTCTGAGATTAAAAAAAACACAGTAAGTTCTGGATTTATCATACTTGAGAGTTTTCTGGTAAGCAAAAGAATTCCTGTTTCAAATCAAATGGCATCAATATGTATTATTTCCTAAATGCAGGGCAGAATGTTTGCTACTAATACAAAGACAGCTGGAAAGGAAGGACTTCCATGATCTTAAGCAAAGCTACTAAACACAATATGAAGTAACAACACTCACAGAAAAGGAAAGGAAAAAAACTACAGTAAGCAACTTAATAAATTAAGCTACTTTCACACTAGGATATTATGTACTACCAGGCAGCTGATTTTTTGAGTGAAGAGACTCATCAGGTGCCTCATAAGAGAAGACAGTTGGCAAAGCTCCATCGCCATTCAAACTGATGTCATGGCTAACAAGCTGGCTACCATACAAGGCCAATCAGACTACCAGTATTCCAGATTACTCACTAATGGCTTCAGCAGCTTAACGAGTGCCAGACGTACAGTGCCATTAATTGGGCAAGACAGAAGAGGGAGAAAAATATCAAGAAAGGAGGTGAGATGCCATTCACCTGAGCAGCACAGCACTGCGTTGTCCATTAGCACGGCCTTCGCCGACGATCCTGAACAGGAAAGGAGATGGGCAGACTGAGGAGCAGGAGGAAGATTTCAGACCCGAGGCACAGTTCATTGTAAAAAGCTGGTTTGTGGGCCTGTTGGGTGCCAAGGCAGATGGAGGCCAACCCTCGCACCGCTGAAGACCCCGCCACGCTGTCCGGCACACCGGGCTGTCCCCGGCAAAGGGGTGGTGGGCACCCGTCCTGCGTACGCTCGCTCTTCCTAAACCACCACCAGCTGTGGCTGTTCACCCAGGGAGGAAGAAGCTGAACAAGGCTGATGAATGATAAAAATACTTGCCTTTTTTAAAATTTATTTTTAGTTCAACATGGATCACAACATCCTGTCCCTCCCTCTCCCCTCCTGTGAAGACATAAGTATCTCCAGATCAACATTTTTAAGCATCAAGAGTGTAACACATTTCAACTGCTGCTAATACAGGTTTTACAGTGATGATTTTGTCAAAGAGATTGTTTACGCAACTCCTTAAAGAGCAAAAAGGGAAAAATCCTACATACAAATGCAGATTAGAACTTTCAGAATGTAAACACATAATATACATAATTACTGCATTATCAAAATATTATGCATTTATCAAAAAACTTGAACGTAACACTTTCCAACATATACTTGATATGGCCCAATCATAATTTGAAGGCAGACTGTATACCCTATAAGGGTAACCGTATACCCATGTAAGATAATCACTCCTGCCATAACTTACAGATGCATTTGGCCATATTGATGCCAAAAAAGGAGGGATTAGTTTCATTTTACCCATGCTCTACTGATTATTGATACTTGGCTTAATTCACTCAATACATTCTGTAAAGGTATGTAAACAGTCCTGGATGTAAAGACCAAAGAGATTTAAATGAAATCAACAGATCTGGACTGGTCAATGTTAATGTCTTCATTAACGTCTTCATTAACTCAGATACCTTATTTATCCCTGAGCACCTTAAAATTGTTCCCCCAAATCTCACTGAAGAACATGTAACTATTTCACAAGGATGTAAAACTGCATTTGGATAAATCGGTGTCTTAGAAGTCCCAATTTTCCTCACTGGTTTAAAAAAAACAAACAACAAAACTAACCCAAACCAAAAATCATGTCCTCTCCCCTCTGTTTTTTACACATACCGCAGTACTTCAAAAAGAAAAATCACTCTATCAACAACATCACCTACAAACACACTACAGACTACAAAAATATTGCATAGGAGTGTCTGTGGGTATAGTCTCACAACATGAGAGAAAATGCTAAGTTTTTTTTTAAAACATTATGGCAACATTCTAATTTATTTTCCTTTTAAAAATCAAGTGGTTTCACTTTATTTCAAAATTGTACAAAATGGCCATGGCTGTTTATAAAAAAAAGTCTCTGTCTTGAGAATATGTGAAGTCTCAGGTGCATTAACAAAAGACCTGGAACCATTCACAGTGCAGCGGAAAGCTTCTTTTGAGGCAGAAACTACAATTCGTCCTTCTTCTTTCCTACTCTTTCATGATCTCTTTCTCTTAGGGTTCGCATGAAAGTGGTGAATCCAGACTCCTGAGTTTGAAGAAAGAAAAATATGGGTCATATTTTTACAAACAAACCAAAACAATGTGTGAAGAACGCTTTTAGCTTCTACATCCCACAGCAGAACGTAAACCAAGGAGTGGTTATTGCTTCTGTGTGGCCTCACTGTGCACTGCTCTGGGGTCCCATGCTGCTCCGCTGCAACACAAGGGGAAGATACCCATGTGGATTCCACATGTCAAACTTTAAGGAGATGGGACACAGAGAAAAAGGTCCTAAAACTCACAGGACAAGGTAAAATTTGTCCCTAGGTGTGCCATTGATGCCTTTTTGTCAAGAATACTCAAAGATATTTTCAAGCTGCGTTGTATGCTACATGTGACGTTCTGAAAGCAGCCGCTGGATCACTTGCTGGCATTTGCCACTGTTCCTCACCCTTTAGTCAGTCCACCTTCCAGCACAGGGATAATCATCCCCCAACTGCCGCAGCCTCAGAGCACTCCTGTCTTGCTAAATTCTTTTCATCAGCCAGCACAGATCCTTCCTTTCGTATACAATTTCTGTAAGTATGGGTTAGAAATACAAAAATTGCGACTGAAATTTTACTTAATTGTTGGCTACTGCACCCATCTGTACTTTCAAGAAAAGATCCACAATCGGAAATGAAAACAGTATCCATAACAACGCCTGGATCAGCACCATGAAATGGTAATTACTGGGGTCTTAATGCTGGAGTAAACTGGGATGCAAAGGTCCACGAAGACTTCCCTAAGATTCTGACTGACAAAAAACCTCAGAATTTGGCTTTATTCTTCATGCTTCTCTATAATTTGGTGTAACAGCAGCAATGACTTTCAGGCAAGGCTCTTATCAAAGTCGCTCAATGGCTCGAAGACCTCAAGTTTTTCTTGCCCACCCTAGCTTCTCCAGGCAATCAATCACCGCTGAAGAGTAATCTCCCTCTAAGTGTGTATGACAAAGAACACACACAAGTAATTGGACTGCATCCTTATTTTCAGGCACTTTACAACCACGGAAGGCATTATGCCATTTCTGCCCCATGTACTCATAGTATATAATTAGCTCGCCACAGAAGGACAAAAGAATAAAACTTCAGCCCATGGGCTAGATGGCACAATTGGTCTTTCCAGCTTGAGCTCCAGGACTTAATCTGATTCAGGGAGAAAGAGATATTTAGTTTCTCCCAGTCTCCAAAGGACAGCTTTGTCCCTGCTATAAAACCAACGGTCCGTCACATTTGGCAGCCTGAAGGACCCATAACATGTTTGCAGTATGTGCACGATCCAGTTCCAGAACTGACAGAAGTTCTGTATTTTCTGGCATTTCCGCGCCTAGCAGCAGCCCATGCAATAAACCCTTCACTTTCACTCAGTCTGATTTCACTTGCAGACTTCAGCTTAAAGAATAAAATATACAATAAAGCATTACTAAATCTACTCCTTTTCCTTCTTCTCCCCTTCCTAAAATAGATCAAGTATGTTCCTAATGCAGAGATGCACGGGGTGTGGTACACAATGATTCATCCATGTAAGACAGTAACAGAAGCAGTTAAAAATCCTTTCAACATTATAAAAATTTACCCCACAGTTTTCATTTGCAAGGCAGTAAAGACAGAGGAGACCTTCCTCCCCATATCAGGTGGCAACTCTTGCTTTCACTTACCCCTCTTTCTCCAGTATATTTCTCCACGAATTTTCCGTAGTTGTAATAGTTGAAGGTGGGGTAGCCATCGACCCCCTCCTGCTTACACAGGTCGTGATTCTGTTCTTTGGCACAGTCCACTGCAGCATAGGCTATCTGAAACGCAAGAGACCAGCATGAGGCAGGAGCAGACAAAGCAAGATTCCACTTCATGGTTATGCTGCTGCAGCTTAGACTTAACACCAGGAGAGACCCATGTCTTGTGCCAAAAACGTGGCAGCTTTTGTAATGGCTCACCTGTGGAGGAACATCAGAGGGTGGTCAACAGGTCAAGCCACACCAACAGAAGAGCAGAAACCTGCTCCCTTCCAATGAAACATTGCGCTGCTCGCACAGCACCTGGCCCGCGCTGCTGCGAGGTGTGCTCAACTCGCAGAGCACAAAAATCGCCTTCCCAGCATCCCCGTTGAGCACTGCGTTATGACTCCAAATCGGAAAGTACAGAGAATGGGTTAGTGAAACCAAAGCCAAGCACGGTGGTCACAGCCGTCACGCTGCAATATTTTTCCTGCTCTTTGATTTTAAGTGATGAACAGTGACAGGGTGACTGATAACAGTAACAACCCACCAAACCCAACCTCCTTCCTGTGGCACGGCTAACGCTTGGAAAAAGTTACCTCTGCTGTTCTTGGACAAACATGGCTGGTCACTTATGCAGGCTATTAATAGATTAATGATTTCTACCCCAAATAGCTTTTGCAAACTACATTCAGTTCTCCAAAGGTTAAATGGGGATGGGTGAGGGCCCAGAGCATCATCAACTGAGCAATGCACATAAAGAAGGTTGCTTGTTTGCAATCTCAATCTGGCTTTATGTTTCCTTTCCTGCCATTTTTCACTCTATCCTTTAAGGCAGAGACTCTATATTCTGTGCAGCCATTAGCAAACTGGGCTTTAATTCCTTTTGAAACCTCTAGATGCTACTGTCACACAAACAAACCTCAAGTAGGAAGCAGCCTGAAGTGCTCTCAGCCTGTTGGCAGCTGAGCAACACACTGTCCCTGCCCGCTTTGGCACAGGCAGAGCGAGGAAGAACAATCCTTGCAGCCCTAGTGCATAAGCTCAGGGTAACCCTAGTCTGGAGTGTTTGACATTTGAAGCCTGAATCTGTGAAGTGCTGAGGAGGGGCCACACTTAACATTTCCGATGTTGAAATAAAATGCAGTTCGGCTACTTAACACTGCTGAGCCCTGTGCCGCGATTTCACACTGACTGCTCCTGCGAGCGGCGGTTCTGGCTCTGAATGTAAAACTGCTGCTTCCGCAGGCTTCAGAGCCCCTTATACTCTGCTGCAGAGCGAGTGGGTTCAAGTATAGGCTACATTAAAAACCTGAACAAATTAGAGGAGTCATAGAATGTCTTAGGTTGGAAAGGACCTTAGAGATCATCTAATTCAACCTTCCTGACATGGGCAGGGATGCCCTTAACCAGACCAGGTTTCTCAAAGCCTCATCCAACCTGGCCTTGAACATCTCCAGGGAGGGGGCATCCACAACCTCTCCGGGCAATCTACTCCAGAGACTTGCCACCTTGTACTGAAGAATTTCTTCCCAAGATCCAGTCTAAACCGATTCTCCTTTGGCTTAAATCCATTTCCCCTTGTCCTATCAGTGGACACTCTTGTAAAAAGTGCCTCCCCAGCCTTCCTGTAGGTTCCTATCCTGTATTGGAAGGCAGTTATAAGCTCTCTCCAGAGTCTTCTCCAGGCTGAACAATCCCAGCTCCTTCAGCCTGTCCTCATAGCAGAGGTTCTCCAGCCCCTGGATCACCTTTGTGGCCTCCTCTGAACTCATTCCAACAGATCCACGCCCCTCTTATGGTGGGGACACTAGTTACGGTGAGGAACTATTTTTTGCAGCTGTGGGTTACAATGTATCAAGTGCTCATTTCATAGCAGAGGCATCTTAACTTAAAATTTCCCTTCCTCTAGCCTCCTTCAATTTGATCAAAATAGCTTTCGCTTGCCTCACTTTAGGGTTGCAGTTGAATTGTTCTTCCATAATTAAAAGATCACTTAATATTCCACAATGCCCTCCAGTTTCATAGTGACACTGTCAAAATGAGAAAACTTGATCTCATTATCCTAGAAGTAATTAAAGAGATTGGCAAAGCCAACTCCAGTTAATTTGCTTGTTTTGTTTTGGCTTTGAAATCCTGAGAAGACAATACTCAGTAAGATCTCGCTTGAGTCTATCTTCAAATGGAAGCACTTGATATAAAGTGAGCAGTGTTCTTACCTTAAATATTTGGTTTATGTTTTCCCATTTTAAACATTAATAAGGCTATTACAGAAACAGGACTCCTGAGAGATGTTAAAAACACATATGATCACACTTTTTTTTTTCTTTCTGTAAACAGAAAGACTCCTACTCATTCAGGGCCAGTTAAGAAGAAAGTATAGGAATAATATATTGCAAAAGAGTTTCAGCTAAGTATTCATGCCTTCCTGACCTTAGAAGCCAGCCAAAATTTAGAGCCCTGTTGGCTACTTCTGTGTAAAGGAAAGCTTACACAGGAAAGGACATAAATATTTATTACATGTCACAGTATTAATGTAGAAGGAATACTTTAAGTCCTGGTTCCCTAAAAACAAGAAGAATAAATAAAACTTCTTTTCTCACTACTCTAAATATCACACAGGAAAGATTACAGCCAGAGAAAGAGGAAAGTACACGTGCACTCATCCAGATCTTAGTAGCTGGTCTGAGGCATGGAACTGTTGTGACTGATGACCCATCTGTTCTTAGATAGTGTCTTGGAGATTAAGAAAATCAGTTTTCAGTACACCGGAAGCAAGAGAGGCCCTCTTGATCTGCACCTCCGTAGAAACATGTAGACTGGCTTTGGTTTGGAGCAAAGAGCCCAATTTCACTCACCAAATCCTTTTGTGAGAATAGCCCCTAGCGGGGAGTGGGTGCAGAGGAGGCATGCAATGCTCTAAGCACTGTTAACCTTGTTCGTGTCTTTACTTGTTGCCTCAAAAACAGAAGACTGATGAGCTATAAGGAGATGGCTTCTGAAAGAAACGCTTAGTAGTCTGGTTGAGACACGGCTTTCCTCTACGGCACACGGAAGTGCAAGCTGGTCCATCTGTGCATTTAGTGGGCACTGAAGTAACGCAAAAAGATCCCAGTCTGGCCGCAACAGCCACGTTAGTCTAATGCTGTGCCTAATCTAACACGTCTAATGGTGAGGGACAGGTACATCTGGAGCACCGTTTGGAGGACATGTCCATGGTCTGTCATTCTCCAAAATGCTCCTGTTGCAAGCTCCCACAGACATGTCACTGCTTCTGCGAACATCACTTTGAGCCAGCTCTTCAGAACATACATTCTGATTCAGTTATTTTTACAGTCAGTGAGAGAAGAGAAATGGCAATTTTCAAAAGCCTTGTAACTCACACCGACCCGAGCAAGATTTCAGAGAGACATCTAATTCCCAAGATTGTATTCGATGCTGAATTTCAAATGCCTGCTGCCAACAGTAGCTGAGTAAGAGTACTTAGGAGAGCTTGAGTGATTACTTTAGAGTGGAAATGTTAAGGCAGCCTAAATATAGAGGTTGCTACCATCTCTATGCACTCATTACCATAGCATCACAGTCCTAATTGTCTTGCCTGTCTCACAGCGGAAGATCAAATATAGTGCACTGCAAGAAGAGAAAAGTAATGCTCGAAAACACTTGTAGCAAAATGCACTTCTGGACTGAGGACCATTCCAATCTCAAGTCTATCATATGGCACATGAGAATTTCAGCAAACAGCACCGATGCCCTTTGCTTTGTTCTGTTGGTGTTTCCATGGGCCATGAATATTAAACTCAATTTCTGGGAGAGGATTTTCCTACAGAAATTTTCAGTTAGGTCATGTTACTTCACGACTACACAGAAAAGCTGCACATAAAAAGATGGAGCCCAAAAAAAGAGAGGCTTTACTGGAGTCCTAACTCAAGTGAGCAGTGATATATTGTAGGGAGGAGTTCTCATTCTCAGCCTTCTTAGCAATGATCAGTTTTCCTGAATCACTAAAGAAGAAAAATGAGCTAGGAAAAATAAAACCAAAAAAAACCTCTCCCAAAATATGGTTAAGGACTTCTGGAGAACATTACTCTCGGAAACAACCCTTATACTCAACTACCAGGAATATTGCATGGAAGTTCACTGAAAGCATAGGTTAGCAGGACCTATATGCTTTGCCTTGAAAAATACTAACTTCAATCAACTAGAAATTTCCAACAGATTAAGCATAAGAATTTCTTTACTGAAAGGGTTGTCGGGCATTGGAACAGGCTTGCCAGGGAGGTGGTTGAGTCACCAACTCTGGAGATGTTTAAGAGACAGGTGGATGTTGTGCTGAGGGACATGGTTTAGTGGTGTTGATGGGGCTGGGACAAAAGTTGGACTTGATGATCTTGAAGGTCTCTTCCAGCCAAAACTGTTCTACGATTCTGTGAAGACATCCCCAATGTATCCAGGAGTCGAGACACTTGGCATTACCTCTCACGAATTGCCTCTCATCAAGAGGGGAAAAAGATCTCTAAGACTCTGTGAGAACAAAAAACTCTCCTAATGCTGGTGTAAGACTTAAATGTGTGTGTCTATGTATGTATGGATATGTATAATGTCCATTATGCAAAAACCCAGTGTTACAGCTTTCAGAAGACAGGACTGACTTCATGTGATTTTGATTGTTAGGGCTAAAATTTCATTCCTTGAGCCTTCCTAACTTTCCTCTAACCAGAGGGAAAAATCCACTGAAAAAAAGTTTTTAGTGCTATATCTGCAACGTGCACAAAACTCCACAGGGTTATGGATTCTACATAACCCAAAGCTGCCCTACTTTAGATATTGACAATACGTTACTATACACAAGTTCTCTCTCCAGAGCAATGCCGTTCAGGTTTATCAGCAGCCTGTTCAGTAGCTGTAGCAGGAACAGAATAGTTGTCGAATGAAAAGATAGTCAATCAGAAACGGTGGACCCCAGAGAAAGTTCCTTGGAGTACATCCAGCTTCCTTAATGTTACTGGTAGTCCCTCACAACTGGTACACAGATTATAATAATTAATAATACAAGGTTAGTATGCATAATAATGCACAATAATTATGCATAATAATAAAATTTTTAAAAAGTACCAGATTAGTATGCAGTTCTCCTTTATTCCATAGTCAGTATAATTTAACATGACTCTGGCAACATCTGGGACTGGAAAACATCTTTATCTGAAAAGGGAAGCCCCACAGCTACATTTCATGGGTATTACCAAAGACGCGCAAGCTTAACTACAGAGTTGCGAACTCAACTCTGCACAGCAACAGAATGTGAGCAATGCATGACCAGCTCTGAAGAGCTCTTAAAAAAGGAAATAGAGCATGGCATATTGCTCAGATGAAGTGGGCTGATCACAAATCCTGAGCTGTTGCAAAAATCAGAACTTTTCATTTTGGTGCTTAAGCAGAAATGGAGCTATGCTGAAAACATGACCACTGATCTCCATGTGCCTCAACTGTAACAGAAGAAAGATGCCTTATTTTTTTTACTGCCTGTTAGAAGGCAAAGTACTTGCAGTATCATCTGATCATGTATCAGGAACCACAGTTCCCTTCCAACAGAAATATGAAAAAACTTCTTGCTCTAGTAGGATCTTGCAGGTAAGGAACACAATTACATAAAAAAATGCAAACACGTGTAGAAATTTGAAAGTGGAATCCCTTGACTTTCCAGGTAACTCCTCCTTTCTATTCTTAAACTGCTTTCATTTTAACAGTTTGTCTCCCAGTCACCATATGATGATATAGTAAAAATATCCCCTTGCAATCCTAGTTGCTCTCCTGTTAAAACATGTACTTCCACGTGCTGGTTTATTGATTCAAGAAAATAAATCTCTGCTGGAGCTAATATTGACTTTTGTTATGAAAATGGAAGTGAATAACTAACTGAATATTGATTTGAAAGAGGAATGACATATTATAAGCTTTAAAAAAAATTTAAATAAAGTAAAATTGCAGCATGGAAAAGAATCTTTCCAAGCAACATTTTTAAAGTATAGTCAATTCCAGATGCCAATTACCTGATTATTAGAAAAAAAAGTCTGTTGTTGCCAAATGCCTTAAAAACACCTATGAATACCACAGACGTGCTTTCTTCTCTTTGAGTACTCCACAGGTTTATATTTATATTACCTCTGGATCCTAATGGCAGTTACGAGTTGGCCTACTACAGCTTGTTGCAATTCATCTACTGTTCTCAAAGCAAAAAGCCTTGCAAATGGAAGATTCATTATTAGGTGCCCTGATGTGCCACAAGGGCATTACCATAGCTGCAATTAATCATCTGTTTTCAAAGCAGGCCTGTTTGCAAAGGGAAGACCCATTAGTAAGCACCACGACATACCGTGCTAACATCACCATATTTAACGAGTCTCATTAAAAAGAAATTCAACACATGCTTTTTTAAGCAAAGAGGGATCAAATACTTGGCCAAACAAAAATATTAACTCATTTGGACAACTCTGTACAGCGATTTGGTTGGTGTAATGATTTTAAACTATGGTTCAACCCATGGTTCGCAATACACATCGGGGACTGAGCAGATTCGCTGCTGTCTTGCAGCACCCCAACTCGCCCCATTAGCTGCACACCCTTTCCAGCAATCTCTGCCACAGTTGTTTCTGTACAAACTCAATAGAATCCAGCTGCCATGCTCGGATTTAGGTCAGTGCATTTGCACAGGAAGTCTTCTGTGAAAATGGAGAAGATTGGTCAAACAGCAGCCCCTTTGGGGGAGTTCCAAGGATTTGTTACCGAGAGGCCTTGAGGAGTAAAGGCCTTCAGCAAATCCAAGCTGGAGCGTCACAAATCAGTTCCTTCAAACTGAACTTTAGGACCAGCCAAAAGCTAGAATGCAGATTTCTTGAAGATTTAGCTGGTGCCCTTTCAAGAGTGTCTGGAGTAGCGAGTGAACATGCCCTCATGCTCTTCAATCCATTCAGCAAAGTGGCAATCCTCACATTTGCATTTTCTGCCGTCCTCTGGTCATTGCCAGCACTCAAGCTGTGGAGCACAGGCCAAAGGCTTTCCCCTGGCAGCTGCATGCAGAGACCACGGCGCCCCAAGGCAAGAGTGGCTCCAGATGGCTCCCCTCCGCCTCTTCTTTTTTCTTTTCTTTTTAAATAACTGGAAGCAATATGCTAACTGTTTCACTGGACTGGCCTCTCCACTGACCTGCTTTTACTGGTGCTGAATTTCTCAGGTACATGGAAAGACGCAGAGGCTCTGGTTTATGGGTTACACCCAGAGCCGTGTTTTGCAACAGCCACACGACTGCCCCAGGCAAGCGAGCAGGCGCGGGATTTCTGCTAAAGCCACCAGCAGTGATGTGGCCAACAAGAACTGACATTTGGGGCCAATGTTCCAAGTGTTGCTTTTCTGAACTCCAGCTCCAGCAGTGCAGATGATGAAAAAGCACAGAGCATTACACACAGCCCTGGGGGAGGCAGGGAGGGGGGGCTTCTGTGCCAAAATCACCCCCTTACAGTGATTCTGCAGAGCCAAGGACACATATTTAACAGCTTCAAGCTCTGCTCATCTTCGAAATTCCAATGACTCAAAGTCTCCCAAAGGATACCTTTTAAGATACCATTTATAACCAGCTGAAGCCTGGAATGTTTTTGATTGTTCTTTGGCTTCCACAGAATTAAATGTTTAATTAAAGGACCACCCCTATTGAAAGAAGATGCAGTTTAAATGCTACCATACACTGCTAAAGTGAAAAAAAAACCTGTCCCCTGGGGAAAAAACCAAACCAAACAACACACTACTACAGACTAAAAATGAAAATTAGTAATCTTTCCCCGTTTTTCTAAAGAAGAAATACTTCTTCCCTCTTAAGCAGTAATTTTACAGATGTTCAAGACCCTACAGAACTACAAATTAGTCAATGTTTGAAGGCTCAGCCCAGATTGAAACACAGGAATGTGCCCAGTGCTGCTTGTGGGAACAGCTATGTGCCCTTCTGAAGTCTTAAACAGGTTTCTTTTGTTTTCCACAAGGGCACAGACATGGGCAGCAAGAAGTACCTTGGCAGGTTATGGCTGTACACAGTTAAATAAGGTTCCCCCAATAATCAATCCCTGGCACTTCCGTAAGTCGCTGGGGTGTAATAACATCGTTTTCCCTAACTGCACACACCTCTTTGAAACTGTACCAGCCTTAATACTCCCTCCTGGCTCTCTTGTTCCAACTCATTACATTTTATACCTCCCCACTTCAGCCTTAAACTGAAGTCAAGAGTTGCAGCTGTCAATCACTGCTCTGCTCTCGGAGTCCTTTCATAACCTGGAGTCTGAACCAAAAGCTTCACAAGCCCGCATTGACCACCAGCACCATGTCCAATAAACTGCCCCATGATTCAGATTGCCTGTTAATACATCCTGGGGCTCTAATAAGCAAGTTTCACATTGTTTGGCACATTTGCTTCCTCTCTGACTGAAATTTTAATGAGTTTAGGAAAGAGGCTTCATTGGGAACTATCCAAGAAGAAAAGTGGGAAAACAGGGATACTTTCTCAGAGATCTTGGAAACAAACAAGTCACCAAAAGGCATCTGAGCACACAAATTTACAGCAGTGAGAGAACTGAAAGATGCACGCCTCTAAATCTTCTTGTGTGCCACAGGGCTTAAGTGATAGACTTCTAATTTTCTGCAGTCAGCGATAGAAGAATGATTTGTTTCTTGTCAGTCTGATATGTCTTCTGTGAGTTACAGAAAAGATGACAGGAAGAGGAAAGGAAACATGACAGAAAATCTTCTCTTATGGTGCTAGGAAAATTAATAGGGGTATGAATGTTACAAAATTATCTCTTCATTTAGAATATTATTTCAGTTGGTAGGGACCTACAAGGATCATCTAGTCCAACTGCCTGAACAATTCAGGGCTGGCCAAAAGTTGTACCTCCCTTAAAAATAATAATACAACATTATTAGATATTAGTAATATATAATAGTTATTCATATAATTAGTAATAAATCAGCAATAAACCAGTAATAAACAGTAATAAAAAGGTTTCTAGCTCATTATCTGGTTAAATCCTGTGGCTCAGGTGTCTATTTTTTTAATCCCGGATACGCATGCACTCAGTTAAAATGGTTCAGCTGACGCAAGGAAATTAACCAGTGTACTTTGGCCATCAGATGTATTTTCAAGGCAGAAGTATGAGGGTCCTAGAAGGACTCGACATCCTGGACTTAAGTCAGCAAACTTACAGAAATATATTATATTTATGCTATGCAAGCAAAGATTAGTTATATGATTGAGGTCTTCAGGACTGTCATACAACTTGTGGTTTCTCCACACGCATCTCAACGGCTGATAGAAGTTGAAGGGGAATGCAGATGATGTAAATCATCTTCTACTAACTTTTCAGTGAGAAAGCGTATGTTTTGCTTCATATAAAAAAAACCCCAAAAACTTCTACCACAAAAAATTAAAACAGAGAAGACAACAAATTAAGGAAAACAGAATAGGTTGAAAGTGTAACATGATTTTACTAAAAATGATACAACCCTCAATATGCAGATCCATTTCTACTAGTGTAACAGCAGTTTTGTCTACAAGCCTACCACTTTATCAATAAGCAAATCTATAAAGCACAATGGGTGGAAAACATTCTTAAAAATCTCAGAAATAATTAACAAGAAGTTACCTTTCGATCTTCTTTAAAGACTTCGGCAGCAGTTGTAAAATGCGGAATGGCATTTTTACAGTGGGGACACCCTGTTTGACACAGGAAGAAAATAACAGCATAAATATTAGCTATAAATAAGATACTGGGACAAACTCAAGACACGAGGTGAATTAATGGAAAACATGTATTAAAAATAATTCTAGAGAAGGGTTCTCCACTTTTGGGAAGAGCAGCACAAGGCATCTGTAGACCATATGTCAGCACATGTTTAAATCCTTCTGACTTCAAGCAGTTTAAGTGTATAATTAACAGTTACACAACATCCCATATAGGGACCAAGGTCAGACTGCACAGGGCTCTGAGTGACCTGATAGTTAAAGATGTCCCTGCGCATTGCAAGGAGGTTGAACTACATGACCTTTAAAGATCCCTTCCAACCCAGAACGTTCCGACTCTGTGACCACAGTGCAAGGGCCTTTTCTCTATCGCCAGTCCCTTAAGAGCATTTTAACATCACGAGCCACAAACCAACCAACCACTTCCCTGCGACTGCACCTCCTCACAGGTATTACCACACAGGTTATTGCTGCTGTTGCCACAGATACCAGCTACGCTTGGTCACAGGAATAAAGACCGTGCAGCTGTGAACAGAAGGAGGCTGGGAGTTGGAAAAAGGAAGTCGCCAGGAGCATTTGGAAGTATTTGGGAATTGCCTGTGCTTGAGCCAAGCCATCAGGAGCACAAGGACGGGAAGAGAAACAAGTCCAACTCGCGTATGGAGAGCAGAGGTCCAGTCCCAGGTTCGGATGCCTGCTGCTGGCCTTCCCCAAGACCTTCCTCCTGTTCACCAGGAACAGGCAACTTCAGAAGAGTTTTAGACACAGCACACAAGAACCCCACAGCTTTGTGTGGGAGATGAGCCGGTATTTCTTTGTACCACTGCAGAACCGAGCAAAAGGCCACTTCATCCTTTGCTTAAACACACACTAAATTTACACAAACATTTCAGAAGCCATAGAAGGGGAACAAGAACAGCGCTCTTGATTCAAAATTCAGATATGAGTGCTCTTAATTCAGAAGCAATGTTTATTGTCTAGACTACTCTCAAAATACCAATCCTAAATAAAGCTCTGAAAAGGAAAGCACCTGCGTATGTGTAACAAATTACTTTTTCCAAACACAGCATAAGGACACTATTCTCAAGGAAAGACTCAGGACACTTTTTTGCTTAGATGTCGGGGGAAAAGGGAATGGCCACACTTCTGTCCATCCTGTATAATGCTTGCAAAGACATGAAGAGTTCCTCCTGCTTTTATTTCTGGACAGGAACAGAACAGAGCACAGATGAGTTACTCGCAAGCTTCAATTACAGCTTATGCTACTGTTGCTTACCTGTATTTTACAACGATGAACAAGTGGCTGTGTTACTTAAGTCAGTATTGAACAAATGCCCTCTTGGGAGGCTTGCAGCCACCCTCTTATAAACTGCACTCACTCTTTTAGCTGACAAGACAGACAGTATCTGTGCATAAACACTGCACACCGCTTTCTACAAAGGAAAGGCTGCACATCCCTTTCATCTTCACCAAAATGCAACTTCCTTGCTTATATGCACTGCTTTGAATTTAACAGCATTGTTTTTTTCAGAACAGGATTTTGAAAGCACTGCAACGTGACATGTTTATAAATACACTGAGGGTCTATGCAGTAACTAAGAACACTGAAGAGTCAAGGGGACATTTCCCAGGGAACTGAAGCACTTCTGCAAGTCCATCTTAATGGCTTCAAACTCTTTACGGAGCATAATGGCAGTCTATCCTGATGGCAGGTGTGTTACAGTGGGAGACAGCGCAGGTCCTCTACAGCCTGCAAACTGTTACCTTTGTTGAGCTATTTCATATTTGCCTGGGAGAAAACAGCAGAGACACAGACGAGACACAGAAGAGCAAAAAGGCTCCTAAAAACTTAAACCTTTCTGCTTATGATCTTGAGCTTAAAATCTAAATTTCACCAAACAGCAACTTTCAAACCTTCATAAAAGATATTTGAAGATAAACATGAGATTTCCATGTATTCTTATACCCTTCCAACACCTTTATGATACACCAGCTGATCTCTTTCCCACCTCATGGGTGCTGAATCTGCACAGGGCAGGGCATTGGGCCTCTCCAGTTGCACAGGGAGGTTGTGGAGCCTCCTTCTCTGGAGACATTCAAAGACCACCTGGACGCGTTGCTGTGTGACCTACTCTAGGTGATCCTTCTCTGGCAGAGGGGTTGGACTAGATGAGCTTTCAAGGTCCCTTTCAACCTCTAGCATTCTGTGATTCCGTGATTACAGTTGCAGCAGGTAAGAGCTCTCCATGAGCCACACTCTTCAAGAAAACCAGAACATGATTCAACAAATAACAAGCACATTCTTTCAGACACAAAAAAAATCCAATGCCAATTAAAAATGCAAGCTGCCATTTCACAGGGGCCAACCAATGCCTGGTAAGAACACAGCTCAAGTAGTCACTCAGCTAGTGACTGCTAGGAGAAGCATCAGCAGCTGCTCCACATCCCTTCCACCTGAGCAAGTCACCACTGCACACGCTGCTGCATAGCGTTCAATAGGTGGCACCGAGAAGGGCTTTGAGTGTGGGTCTCAGCAAAGACGTGCACCTTGTAGGGCTAAATGGAAGGATACAACTCTCCAGATCGTTACAGCATTTTGGAAAAGTTAGGCAAAATCAAACATGCTTTGAGGTTGTGGTCAACAACACCACACAGAGAAGAGCACCATGTAAGTCAAAATAACTGATAAAGGAACCTACGCTCACAGCTTTTACTTCCTCTTCCCTATAATCTTCTCATCCTCCCACTCTTAAGACCAAACGACAAAAAATTACCTTCATTTACTGATCCGAAGCTCCATCCCTCCCCTCCCCTCACTTCTCTTGGCCCAACCTCCTTTCTTTACTGCACTGTGCTTGCAAAACTGAAACACAACCATATGGCTTTTAGCACAGCTGACTCCAAGTCCAGTAGGCATTTTGTTAGCCTTGGACATCCATCTACGAAACAGATGTGACCACTATGCTGAATTCCCAAGGGGTTTCAAGAAGTCATTGACAAAGACGGAAGGAGCACATCATATGGAATAGCAGAACTTCATCTGTTACAACTTAGAAGGATTGCCAAACGCAGCAAACACTTGGAAGTCACTCAATCCAGCCATTCTATTTAAAGCACACATGCCCAAAAAAATAAAAGCAGAGGTTGATGTCTTCATTTTGACAGACGGAAAACTTGTTCTCCCCATTCCCTCTTCACACCCACTATCACACATTTATTTTAAGTGTTAACACTATCTTCCAGATTTGAAAGTGCAAAGAAAGGAAATGTACTGAGCACTGTATGCGAGGATAGGAAGTGTGCAGGCTCCTTACAAAGCATTTTCCAGAGGGGCTGCAACAGAAAGAGATTAAACTGGTGGCATCTGAAGGTGTGGGTAAGGTGTCAAGAATCAAAAGGTCCTGCCCCTTCTCAGTAGTATTTATAGGACAGTAAGTCACTATGGACTAGAGAAGTAGGAAGATTCATTCAATTTCATTTTAGTTGAATAATTTAGGTGTTTTGGTAAGGTGCAGAGGCTTCCTCAAAGGCCAAGAGGTGGACTTTGAATTAAGCAGCATTGGAAGTAGCACTTCTGGGAGCAGAGGCTTCTAATGTAGGTGCAGGGCTTTGCTTTACCAGTTGTCTCTTTTTTTGTTTCTGCATCATTGTCAAATTTGTTCTCAACAAGGTTAACAGCAGATGTGAAATAAACAGTAATTTCCTGTGCCTGACTTGAAAAATCTGAAAGAAATCTGCTCCCGGAACATCCAGCCTTTCCCCAGAATCCCAGTACTGGCGCTCAAAACCTCTAATCGATTCTGCACATCTTGAGCTAACTTCATTTCCTAACACAGAAACACACTTGCTTCACCTGGCAGGGAAGCAAGAGAGCTTGACATCTAATGTACATGCACGTGGTAGCATGTGTTAAGGCCAGTCTCTGTTCCTCATCAGCAAATGATACAACTTTATTACAGCTCTGGCCAGATGTTCTCACCACTCTGTGCTCAAAACACTGCACTCTGGAGGCACCCCCAGGCAGCTCATGGGGGTGTCTGCTCTGCTTGACGGCTGGAGCCTGCCAGGGGATGAGGGCTGCCTCCTTAAACCACAGGTCTGTGGATCTATATGAGAACCTGCAACAGAGGGCTTCTAAATTGTCTTTGCCTTTCCACTGCATATTTAAAATTTTTCATGAACCTAATATTTTCTACAGGTTCTTTTTTCCACCATTCATGTGGTAAAGTTGGTAAGGGCTGGGAAGGCACATTGCACAACAGTGACGGCAGGCACCGTCACATTCTGCACCTTGAAAACCAAGTAGTTCTCAACTGATCCAGTACAAGAAAAATACATTTTCTCCGTGTAAAAATTCCAAGAGGAATGGCTGATGAACAGCAGACAAAGGAAATGAAGTAAGTAAGCAAGCAGGCTTAATTCAGACCCATTATCACCAAGGAGGAGAGAGAGTCAGATTACATCTCCTCTAATTAGAGACGCATTTAAAGGAAAGCTACTGGGTCTTTTGGGAGACGGAGCAATGGAAAAAACACAGCCCATGTTATTTCCCGTGGACCGAATTTACTGATAGCCACAATAACCACACAGTACAGCTGTGGACTCTCTGGGTCTATCTGAGGACAGAACCAATGAGCCAGATCGGTTTGGGCACAGAAAGTGGTTAGAGAGGCCAGCGCAGAAGCTGACTTCATCCTCATGGAAACATTGCTCTGAGGACTCTGAAGGAATAAAGGATCACAGGGTTGAGCTGGAGGTGGTTTCCAACATGACACTACAAAACATTTGCATACATGATGTACAACAAAGATATTTCAAGGAGAAAGAGAAAATCTTACTAGGTGTTCACATCACCTTGTAAACTATTTATTAGTTTTTTAAACAAAAAGCACTGAGGAAAAAACAATATAAAGCCATTTGTCACATAAGATAAGAAAGACACAAAACTGATATTAAAAAACATGTGCACATTG